AGTCCATCTTGGTTTCATTGTGTCAATAGCTTAAAAGTGGAAAACCAGAGCTGAATTTAAATAGCATCAAACTCTCATGCAGTAGATGCTAATATTAAAATTGTACATATGCTTATTTTTTAATTGTTACAAACCTTCTGCAGAACTTCTAACATCTTAGATTTCAGATCTTATTGCTTAATAGTAATTTGTTGCTAAAGCTATTTGTTTTTCTTTGCAAGATAATTTTTTGTAGATGCAAAGAATCAAGCTGGGTTTGGTCAAATTTGAATTAAGGGAAGTATGTCTTGTTATTAAGATATGCTAAGAGGTTTTTTCCAGGTCGATTCTGTATTATCATCTGTTTCCCTTACCAAATTTCAGATTCTAGAAGCAGGCATTTTTTTTTTTTCCCATCATTTCGCTGGACATTCATTGAGATTATTGGTTGATCAAATGGTCAGTCATTTTCTTGAGATATCAGTATAAGTGTACTATGAAAATACTGCAAAACAAGATTAACAGTTTTATTTTCCATACTTGATAGCTGAAATATGGCCTCTGGTTCTTTGCAGGGGAAGAACTATGACTTATTTTAATATTTATCAAATAACAAAAGTATTTTGGAGATATCAGTTATTATTTTATACTTTTAATGGGTAAGCATTTTTAAGAAAACTAGCAATAAACATGTTTTCTGCTCTGATTTATTTGTTATTTTATGGATATTTTCATCCACGAGCCATAAAGTTAATGAGCATAGAATTTGGCTTGAATTTGCATCAGTGGTAAAGTCACTGAACACTGGTAGTTTGATCTGGTTTCAGTTCCAGAAAACATGCTGGCTTCTCTTTGTGTGGTTTTCTACATGTGTAACTTGGATATGAAGCAGTTTCCCTTAGAAAGTTCTCCTTGAAAGCATTCCTTCCCTTAGGCAAATAGCCCTCATATATTTTGTCAAATCATATAAACCAAACCAAACTGAATTGTTCTTGATATACGGATTTCATCAAGTCAACTATTTCGTTTATACCAGGAAGGGAATGTGGTCAGCCTTTCATTTAGCTGTTATAGTTTTAGTTTATGAATGTAAAAATGCATTATATATATATATATATATATATATATATTCAGTTTTGGTATTTACCGACATTTTTTAATACTTTTTGCTGTTTGATTCGTAAAACATGTTTGAAAATAATCTAAATAAATGTATGTGTGTATTTTTCAAGTTTGGGAGGAAGGGAATGGTCTACAAATAGTGAAAGAGGTGCATGGTACAAAAAGGGTTGTAGATACATTAGGTTATTTCGAAGCAGGAGACATGAAAAGTGTACACTGCCCTCACCAGGACTCGAAACTCGGGCCTCTCGAATATGTGGTGAGTCTGCTCACCATGAGGGCATGCTAAGAAGGTGTTAGAAATACCTTATATACTCTCCCTTTTAATGGGCAACTGGGGATTTGGGGCCCTAGTCGCCAAATCTTGGTGGTGGAAAACCATCATCCACCACCTTGTTTTAGTTCGGGCGCTACTATAGATTTATTAGGTTATTTCAAAGCAGGAGACACGAAAAATTTGCAATGCCCTTGTCGAGACTTTCATCTCGGACCTCTAGAATACGCGCCGAGTGTACTGGCCATTACACCACGAAGGCATGCTAAGAAGGCGGGAGGAATGTCTTATAATTTTTAGAACCACCGTTTTCATACATACCAAAATTTTCAAATGTAAAAAATGTAAATAGTCTTAACATTAATAAGTTGGCAAATACATAAAAACTCTTTTCATGCTGTTTTATAATTTTATGTGAATCATTACAGTTTACACTGTTAATTGTGTTATATATGAAAACTATTAAATGACTTTTCAAATGGTTTATAATTATTTATTTGTGATTGTAATTGCATATTGATGCGACCACATTGGTATAATTTGGTGATTTCTTACAGATGAAAAGGTAAAAGTTTATTTTGTGCAAGTTGGTGGTTTTCAACCCCTTTTTTACTTCCTTGTATGAAGTAAAAAAGGAAGTACTGTAATTGCAAAAAGTTTCAGGCAGCATATTTCAAGGAAAATATCCATTTTGACCGCTATCAAATGCAATTTAACAATATTTTTGCGTGATATCTGTACATAAGGAGGACTCTTTCCTCCCCAAAAAATTATAAAACTGATTTAAAATGAATTTTTAAGAGAATTTTTCGTGGCGTCTGTGCGTACATAAGTATGTATGTACGTACGTATCTCGCATAACTCCAAAACAAGTAGCATCAGAACGTTGAAATTTTGAATGTAGGACTGCTATAACATGTAGATGTGCACCTCATATTTTGGTTGCAATCAGCTACATCAAAAGTATACAAATATATGTATATATATATATATATATATCACTCTGTTACTTGGCTCAGTGAGCTCAGTTTCTTTATTCTTATATGTTTGCAAGTTGTGAATGTTTTTCTTTAAAAATTATTGAATTATGTTGTTCTTATCTTCCAGTTAAGGTTTTTATGCCTTTACTAAATCTGCATGAAATATGTGTGGAGTTATCAACAATTTAAAACTTGTTTAAGTGCAGCTAAGCCTAATGAATTTTGCAATGGCGGACATGTTTGTTTACATTTCGAACTTGGCAAAATAGCGGATTTGTTGCCAATCTAGAGAAACGTAGCTTCGCAACAACAAAGATAACGCCTTCTTTTATTATCGTGAATTAAGTCATGCTTAATGCATTCTGGAATTTATTCGAGGAAATAAATGTTTCAGATTTACTTCGTAATTTTTAATGTAGATATTTTGAGTTTTATGTATTTTTGCTTTGTTGGGAAGTGAGAACTGAATTATTTGAATGAGAAATACTGAATCGTCTGTGAAAAACTGTTTCTTTTTTGTTTGGTTTGCTTAATTTCTTTTATACATCGTTTTAGATTTATTATAGTATTTGAATAGAACATGTGGCAATGATTAGATAATTCTTCAAATGATATAAATTTATATGCGTTCTGAGTTATGATATGGACGAAATGTAACGCTGTTAAGTTAACCTAGCACCAGAGTGTAGCTATGGTAAATTAATATAGAGAATTTTAAAGAGTGCATTTATTCTATTGTGGTTTATGCACTATCGACAAAGTAGATTTAATTGAATCCAATAAGTGTAAATGAAATGAAAGAAAAAATGTATATAATTGAATATTCTGTGCAAGGAAGTCATGTGGTGTACACATCAGATTTTTTTTAACAAGATTTCCAAACTATTGATTTTTATTGTAAGATGGCTAAACATTATCAACATATGAGAGAAAACATACTTTAGCAATTTAAAATACAAATTTGAATTATTACTGCAATTTGGATTACTAATTAATGTCATCTGAATTATTATGCAATTTAATTTTAGGCAATTACTAATGCAAGAATTACATAATTAAAACACTTACATTCTCGTTCAGGTCTTTCATTAATTTTTTTTCCCACTATTCTTTTCCCAAAATGGACACCAACCTGTTTTCGCTTAAAAAACATTAAAATATTGCTGAGACTCGGCATCAGGCAACCATCGGCAACAGCAGCTAGTGAGGAAATGCGTTTCCTCGATATTCCTCTAGAAAATTTTCAAAAAATTTCTGTATTTTTGCAGAAATTTTCTGGCAATTTCTTCCATTGTATATTTTAAAACTATGTTTAAGGCAAAAATATCACGATTTGTTTATAAAAACTATTGAAATACAGAATGCATAAAAAAGTGGTGGCATTTCTTCACAGAAGGATTGTTATTAGCATGGTTGTCCGAGTTTGGCACATTCTGAAAATTTAGTGACTTCTTTTAAGGTGGTTGCATTAATATAAGTACTTTATTGATTATATGATTTAATGTTTTACAGAATGAATTTTGTAATCTAGCACTTGAATTGATGTGAAATCTGCAATTTACATGAATTCAAATAATGTAGTGTTTTAATAGAATGTATTAAAAATACATAACACAAAACATAAAATCTACAAAGAAAAGAGTGTGAGATATTTTTCTCCCTTACCATGTGCCTTTGTGTTATAAATGGAAGCATATCTAGCTTGTTATCAGAAGGTTCTCGATTCATTTTCCAGTGAGAGCTTTTAACATGTTTCATACTTCAACAAGCATAATGAATCTACAGATGTAAATATTCAACTAATTATGATGTCATAAACATCATGATGTTATGATAATAAATCCTATGCTATAATAAAATGTTATGTTATCCTATAACATAATTTTGATGCTATTCGCTAAGAGGCAAAGGCATTAATCATTTTCCACGTCTTCTGAAGTAAAATGCTTAATGGTTTCTACAAGATAAAATATTAATATTTATTTTTTTAACTGAATCTCTGTAAATGTTTGTTTTAGTATTATAGAAACAATCACACACACACAACACACACACACGAGAAAAAAAAAAAAAAAAAAAAAAAAGAAAGAAAGAAAATTTATTACCTTAACATTCTCTTGTACTTTTTGTTTTCTTTTATGGTCATGTGTATGATTCAACTGTTGTGCTTTTTTCTTGTATATTGTGTTTCATAGTGATTTTTCTGTTATACAAATAGAAGTATTAATTTTGGAATTTTTGTAGAATTAAGTTTTTATATATATTTGAATCTTATGATTAATACTAAATTCTAGCCATTAAATATGAACAAAAATAAAAGGTATTTTGACGTTATATACTGCACTATAATCTAATATGAAAAGAAAAATAAAATAATAATTGTATTATATTTCTTGTTTCTGAATTTATTTAGAAGCAAGAAAAATAATACAATTATTATTTTATTTGCTTTTGCCTTGCTAAATGTGTTAACATTTTATTATAACCATGTTCATAAAAGTATCTCTGTGTGTTTCTTATATTTTTGTATTTTTTCTTGAAACCTGTTATCAAATTTAAGTATTATGTTGTTTGACTTCTATGAAAGATAATATAATATCCACTTCTTATTTTATATTTCTTATTTTTATCACATATATTTTCAGATTGTGTCTAGTCACAATATGGATGAATATCAATGTAGAAGTTCAAATAAAGAAATCACTGTAAGTTTTTATTTGAAAAATTACTGCATAATTTGCTTGTATATTTTAATTATATTAAAACTGCTGTTCTTGCTCAGTGTTAGATTAAACCCTATCTTCAGTATTATTAAAACTTGTAATAATAATAGAGTATTGTTTCCTTAAGAAAAGTAAAAATGTATGTTAGTGTTAAAATAGTTATTAATTTTCATTGCTTCTGCTAACCTTCTTTAAAGTGCAAAATAGTTAATTTAAGAAAAAGTATGAAATTTTTTAAGTTTTCTTCACCTCGCGAGAGACGAAAGTGTCATAATTCTGTTAAAACAAAGCTTAGTTTATCAGGTATTAAAACATTCTTAAAATAAGAATTTTCATAAAACAAATAGTTATTTCGTAGAAAAAAGTAAATCTGAGCATAAGGGTACATACACATAGACAATCAGAATTTATCCATCAAAGAAAAAGGGAGTTGTGTTTTTTTCCATTGAAGAACATCATTAATTCTTCAGTGTTTTAGAATGAAATTGAAATTCCTATAAACTGTGCCGAGAAAAGTGTTATTTAATATAATATTTTTGTGTGTATGTATATTTTATAAGTATTAAATAAGTTGTCAAAAAATCAATAAGCTTCAATATGCTGCTTAAAACATGACTAAAAGGTGGAAGTATTTTTGTGTATTTTGTCTTTTGAATATATTTAAAACAGTAAATAAATTTTGCAGATAAAATTAATATAATTCATAATAAGTTTAGAAATTAAGGAAGTTATTTTTGGAATGACTAAGTATTTCAGTATATTAAGAACTATTTGCTGTTGTGTTGTTGAAAATATCAGAGTAAATTTTTTATTAGGTAATTGATCATGTGTTTGCTTAACGATAAGGTAGTTTCTCATGTAATTCTTCAGTGAAAATCTGGCTTTCAAACCAGAAATAACACTTGCACATTTCATCATAAGTAATTATGTATTATAATAAAGAAGGATTCTGAAACTTGTACTATCAAAATTTTTTTTAAATATGTATTGTCTATGCTATTGAGATTTTAAAAGTTACTGCAAGTATAGATGTTGATATAGGTCAGAATTTGATGTAGAAAATCATTAGTGGTTAGAATGCCAAGAAGTTCAATAAGCTGCTTTCATTTAACAGCAAATTCTTGTTCTGTTGTACTGAAGGTAGCTGCATAAATAAGAAATGAGGTCTTTTTTCATCCGTAATTTTAACAATTCAGATTATTTTCAAGATAAGTATTTTTTATATCCTTTTTTCTACATTAATATGGTTACTTTAAAATTTTTACAAAAATATAAAGCATTTTATTAATTTTTATTATTTGTTAGGCATTAGATTCTCTAGTCATATCTGCCATTCATCAGCTGGCCTCAAAACTGTGGGCAAATTCTAAAGAATTATTAGAAAGAGAAAGGTTTGTATATTCGTAAATATTTCAGTCGGTTATTTTTTAATAATGTCTGAAAGCTAAATTGTTTATTTATTGTAACAGTATACATTTTCAGTGATTCGTAATATAGTACACTTAAAAAAATACCTTATGTATGTATAAAAAAAGCTGTATGTTTTGGTAATGTTTGACTTTTGTCATAGTATAATAAAACAAAACCGGAATAATTTTCAGCCCAAAAAAGGGGGGCATTAAATATTAAGCTTTATATATATATATATATAGTTTCTATGATTGAATTATTTCCTTACAACTTTGTATATAAATTATGTGACTTGTTTTGCTTGATATCTTTTTCTAAATAGCAGATTTCAAATAGCAGCTGTGCTTTCAAATAAAATTATGCAAAATATTTTAAATAAGTATTATTTAATGCAGAAGTTTTAAATAAACAGCTAGTTTTGCTTCGGCTTTATTCATATAAATTAAATATGGGAAAACATCTGAGTTGAGAGAGAAGAAGTGTATATTTTCAGAATTAAGTTAGAATTCTTTAATCCTTTTCCAGTGTTGCCATTATTGAAAATTGTAAAATCTGACTATAAATTTGTTATGCGTCTATGTGGATAACATATTAACATTTTTTTTTTTTATGAAAAATTTGAAGTAATTTTAAAGTAATGTTTTCTATGGAGAGAAGAGATGTATAAAGTTAAATAAAAACCATAAAATATTCTTATTTATCACATATTGGAACCTGTGAATTTTTCTTGCATTGATTAATTCTTTATTTGTTAGCTTTGTGAAAATTTCATTAGTTATCTATTCTGTATACACAAAAATAGAACTGGCAAGCTTTTTTAATTGTTTGGTTGTCTAATTCATTTACAAAAGATTAAAAATTAAAATCTTAGGGTGCATTTAGAATTTACTTTTATAGATTTAAGTTTTTTAATAAATATTTTAATTGCATATAAGGTATGAAATTTACTAAATGGTATCCAAAAGTGAGCAGTGCAAACTTTGTATCAATATGATGATTTCTAAAGTGACATTCTGGCATATTTGATCTGTTTTTATTGTTTGAATAAAAGATATAAATGCTGTGATAGTTAACAGCCATTTTCAGCATGGCTTTTATTTTCATTTTGAAAGTTAAAGTAAATTCATCTATTTGGATTTCTTTCTGATTTGCAATTAAAAGGAAATATGACATTTTAATTCAATATATGCTTTATATATTTTGCATAAGTTAATCAAAGCAAAATGAGCCGATAAATATTTTTTGTGTAAATTCATAAACAAAAATTTTTTTCTGCTTATCCACACCCCCACCTAAAAATCATGAACTGGTTAGTCACTTTCAAAAGCATTCACCAATTCGTTAGTGGTAGAGGAGTGAAATGTTTTATAGCTATTTCCCGAAAGCATTCAGTGCCACACCTACTTCTACACATTCTTCTTTTTCCATACAAGATATGCATACTTCTCAGTTTTTGTGCTCTTATTCCGCTTGTATAGACAGCAATTTATTCATCCTTCAAAAGAAAGTGTAAGAATTGCTCAAAGTTATAATTGTGGATGATCTTTGCACCAAAGTCCTACAGTGAGAAGAAGCACATGAGATCTTTATCTGAGCCATATTATACCGTATACATGCAAAAAGCTAGTTTGAGATTTGTTGTAGACAGCAGAAACTGCAGTATGTGGTCTAGCACTATGCTAAAATGCTGAAATTTCCATAAAAAGAATCATGATCTATAGTTACACTAGTGAAAATATCTAGAGAATTTGAAAACTACTTGGGGGAATGCTACCTGGATTGCCATATAAAAACTTTTTGGCAGCATCATAGGTTTGCTACATAAATACTTGTTAGTGACATGATGCATTGCCTCACGAATACTTACTTTTTGCAGCTTTTCTATGGAGGTGCAGGTTGGTTAAAGAAACAAATTTCATACATAGTGATTTTACATGTAGTGGGTATATAATTTGCAAATCACACCTTTTTAGTGCTAGCAGAAATATTTCTATAATTATTGTTATTTGAGTTTTTTTTAAATTCTGTGTTCCAGATTTATATGTTGTTCACTACTGTAGTGTGTTGATATTTTATGCAGAAAAAAATGTCCAAAAGGAAGTGATACATGGTTGATGATAGATGAAGTCCTGCCACAAGGCCCTGTTACCGGAACTCCAGAGGACGGGGACTTTACTAAAGATCTGTCCAGTATATTGAAAAACCTTAAGCGGGTTGAACAAGGCCTAGATGGTATGCAAAAATAAAAAAATATATTATTTTTCTTTAAACTTGGAGCATTTATGTTGATGATTGTAGAAATAAATGAAATTCTTCTTATGATTTTGTTTAAATATTATAATTAGGCAGTATGTGATCATCAGTTAGTGAATTTAGTGATCATAAAATTTCATACCATGGTATAAACCATTTGAGCAATTTAATTCAATGCCATTACACAACAGTTTACTTTTAGTTTGCTGGGAAAGGATTAAGGAGTACTTTTAAAATAATAATAATAATAATAAAAACACAGGGGACTGGAAAAATTACTATTGCAAATCATCCAATAGACAATCTCGTGCACTGGAGATAAAAATGTTCTGTTCCATATAGTGTTGGCACTGCTCACTTCAAAATCGTAGAAATTTTTAATAAAAAAAATGTTAAAGTTTTACAAAATATGAAATAGATTAACAAGCAAATTTGAAATTCAAAATCCGGGCTTCCATGTGCCCATATTTGGGTGGAGAACTACATTATTCAAAATTTGATTACTCTAAGTACTGTTGTTTTTCCATAACGTGAGAAACATGTATGAATTCATGAAGGTTCTTCATTATGTAATTTTTTTAAATATAATACAGGGCAATAATATTTGGTGTCGACAATTTGAAAAGTGATTTAACGCTTTAGTGACTTGGTGCAAAATGCTGTTTTGAGACTAACAGCCCTTTTGGATTTAAAACTGTTTAGCAAATGCAGAAGGGAGAAAAAAAGTACATGATATTCCAGCAGTGATAACAGATGATTTCGTCTTGAGTTATTTTTATGCACAGCAAATATACAGTACATAATTGTGTATAATCCAGAATGTATGAACTTAATTTTTTATATAAACAAAAACGAATAGCAAATGGTTGCCATGAAACATATAGATAGAGCAATGGTGCTAATTATTTATTGATTTAATTTACATAATGAATTTAATTCTCCAAATTAAAATTTTGAAAAATGCATGTAGATTGTTTATAATATTTTTCTGTTAATTATAGTAGGATTTATTACTTTTTCCTACATTTCTTTTCAACTGCTATCAGATAAATTATGCTTTTGAGTTTATTATAGATGTTGTCCCTATATTAATTGTAAATTGTGAGTTAACTACATTTATATTCCACATTAAAAAGTCTGTATATAGTGCAAACTATAGAGTAAATACTTAAATTAACTTGCAGCTTAAACATTTGGCAGTAGCTTATTTCACATATATTCCTATATAATTAAACGAAAAGCTGTTTGATGATAATTCAACCAAAGGGTTGCCTGGTCTGCCTATATGCATGTCCTAGATCAAAGTCCAATAGAATAGGGGATTTGGTCTGACGTGATGCCGCTCTGAGTTTTACATAGAAATATCTGGTAGACACTTGTCCTGCATTTGATAAAAGACTTGCTCTAACTGTGAGATGTGTAACTGTGTATGTCTCAATATCATATTTTCACAAGTTTCTTTTGTAAAAATTACTTCATATTTTTGCAAAATTATATTAGTGAATTTGCATATGTTCTGTACCAAAGCATGAAAATTTCCTTCTGAGTTTTAATCCATTGAAGAATTAAAAAATAATCAATTTTCAGGGGTGAGGATAAACAATACTGCAATGATAAAAGCAAAAGAATTTAAGAATTAACTGTATAATGAAGTTCATGTGCGGGTAAAAAAGAGGGGCTATTTATATGATTTATGATTACTCACTTTTACAACTAGTATGAAACTTTTCACGTCATTTCTTGTTTTTTAAGAACTAATTATTTTATATATTTTTCTTTGCATAAAAAGGGAGATTCCATCTTTAACTTGAAATAAATTATTCTATGTAATAATTAAGATTAGCAAGCTGCCCAGACGGTATAATGGTTAGGGAAGCCTGACTGCGATACCGGAGGGCCTGGATCCGAATTCTGAAAAAAGCATGGTTGTAACTGTCCATCCCTTCATAGGATGCGATGGTGGCTCATCTATTAGCTGCCTCCGTAATAAAGAGACCACCACATCTGGCTTTGTATAGATTAATGGATTGTGTTACATTGTAACTGTTCTCAATCTGCCATTGTGGGAAAAAAAATAAGATTAGCAAAACAGTAGGAGTATTGTATTACTTAAAGTTTATATAATTGTTTCTTAGCTGTTGTTCATACTGTTCTGAGAAATGAATTTCTGAATCTGAAGATTCTATAGTTTTTATTTTCAAATACTTGTTAGAGATTTTTTTTTTTTTTTCCCCATTATATGCAGCACTGAATTTCCACAACTTTACAATACATTTTTTTAAATGATACATTTTTTACTCTATAGTAGTTTAAATTGTTACACTTCAAAAGTATACTGTTACTGTCTGCTGCATTTCTTAAAAATTGCTGCTCCTTAAATTGAACCAGAAGTAATTATTGTGATCATGCCAAAAAACACATATTATGCAGTGCTATAAAGCCTTGTCAAATGTGGGAGTTGCATCATTAATATTTTGTGCAGACAGCAAAATCACATTCCACAAAATTAAAGAACTTTCTTTCGAAAAAATGGGTTAGGTATAGTTCAGATTAAGAATATATGTATAATTGATACAAAGTTAAATTTATTGTAATTAGAAGGGAAAATGTAACAAATGGCAATTGAAAGGATTTCTATTACTGCTTAATAAGTATGTATATGGTCCCCCCCCCCAAATATCTGATGATTTTTGCATGTGACAAAGTCTGATGCAACTTATTAATCATTTCGTGGTAAGGAGTGAAAAATTTCTTAGTATGTTTTATAAAGTGTCTTTTCTTCATCTAGGTTAATCTCTATTAGGAAATGTGTGTTTTTTTAACAATTGGTTTAATTCCTTCTATATTAAAGACACTTTATATTCTTCACTATTGCTACTTTCTGTGCCTGATAGTTTTATAAGATCATCCAGTTCTTCATTTGTCATTTCGTGATAATCATTTTTCACTAATTCTTTGATTTCTTCTTCTTCTTCTTCTACATCGGAAAATCCGTTGCTGCCTGTTGGTTTTGCAATTTGTACAATTTCCTTAGCTTTATTTTCAGTCAACTGAAATGCTTTAAAATTGTTGACAACTTGTGGCTTGAGCTGATGCTAGCAAGTGTTAATTTTTCGTAAATTCACTAGTTCCCACATGAGTTTAATCATTTCTTTGTGGTATTTTATGATGAATTGCTTTCAAAATACCACTAGTATGTTGCGTTTTCCCTTGTTTAGTGTTTTATTTGAAGAGATGTAAGCATGCCTGACATAATGGGCTTTGAGTGTTTTTATGAGTGCTTGATCCTTTGATTAGATTAGGAAAATATGTTCAGTGGAAGAAATAAGACCTCTACATTTGGAAGCAATGCTGTAAGGGTCTTAACTCCATGTCCTGAAGCAATATCAAAAATTAGAAGAAGTTTAAAGCTTCAGATTTGCTGTTCTAAGTGTAATATTTGATTTATTTAATGAATGTATTTTCAAACCAATCCTTAAAAACAACTATTGGAATGTGACTGATGCTCTGCAGCGTACCATGTATAATTGAAATTATCATATTTGACAAATTAAATGGAGGCAATTAAGATAACTTGTATACACAAAATTGAGTTCTTCAAGAGTTTACTGTAGCATATCTTGCTGTATTGCGACTTTGCTCTTTTACAGTAGTGAAGAGCAGTTTTTTAAGTCTCACCAAGTCACACATAGCATATTTGGCTTCATCCATGCAGGTCCATATCTTAAATTGTGTACTAGACTTGCTTAGTCTCAACCCATTTGATTTGCAGTAAAAAACTGTTGCTTCTCTTTGATAAAGTGGTGCAAAAGTATAATTTTGAGCAAAAGATCAGCTGAAGACAATTCCTTAAAAAGCACATCCTTGTATTCGAAAAGGTCCTTTGATATGTCTTTGTCAGGTCGATGCTGAAGCACATTGCTAGTGTGTATGTGCCAAAGGATCTGCTGAATAAAAATATGGGAGAGTTGTGAGATATAAATTCATTGCTTCCAATGTTTGAGAGACATAATGCTTTCAGATATATTTCAGAATACATCTTAAGTATGTATGTGGCAATTTTTCTTGTAAAGTATGATGCCTTCTTCATTAATCCTTTTGGGACGAAATGTGCAACGCATGTATACTGCTTGTCCCAGCTGTTTCTTTTGTGAATGTCTGTCTAGAACAGAAGGGAATTTCAAAACTAAGCCTAAATATGCAAAATCATGGAAAGATAAATGCATTCTTTAATAATGTTCTGTACAGTATGTATGGAGTGTATGCTTTATATGTATTTTTTATTTATGTTCTTTGTATACTTAAGTTTTGTTTTTGGTTTAAATGTCTTTATTTTGCACAGTGTTTTTTCCTTCAATTTTAATGATTTTTGACATTATATAATTGACAATAAATATTTTACTGAACATTTATTTTTAGTGTAATAAATTTAAAAGCAGGAATCTATGCACAGTCCTATTTTACATTCTTGTCATTCATAATAAGTTATTTGCTTTTTTGGAAGATTTTTGCCAGAATCTTCCAAAAATTTTGCCATAAATGAAACAGCACCATCACACTTTTTTTTTTTTTTTAACTTTCATTTGAACAAAGTGCTCCCCATTTATCATTAAATCAGTTAAATTGAGGTTTCTTTTCTTCAAAATCAACATCTCACCAATTTACATTATGGGTGGTGGAAAATATTCAGTCACTCTTTTCCTTCTCCTCATTACAATCCCACAAGTATTTATTTCAAGTCTAAGTTCATCTGCCAGTGATGGAGACATGAAAGAATTATCACTATATAAATGGTACCCTTGACTGGAAAGTTCTTCAAGTAGAGATTTAACAAATATTTTCCCATATAATTCTGAAGTTTCTTTTTAACTAACATTTTCTTTTGTCGCAAAAGCGATAAAGATATGGGTAAAACCTGATTTAGATTCACATAACTTGTTTAAGATTTTCAATGCTTTGATATTGTAATTGTCAAAACAGGTACATTTTGCATAACAGGATCTGGAAAATCATCTTTCTTGGGAGGAGGAGGTTTAATTCTCAATTTGAAACTGGACTGCAAGCCTAAACACCAAATGCTTTATGGAAAAAAAATAACAATATTTATATATAAATACTTTATTCTTATTTAAAGAGGCATCCAGTATTCTAACACACACACACGCACATTATGGTTGGGCTATGGTGGAAAACGAGACATATGCTGCTACACCACCAAACCGAGAACCCTGTGAAGGAATTGGAATTTTGGACATCTTTTTGCACCAAAATTCTTCAATTAGCTTCAGAATGATGATACAACTCGTAAAATTTTAAAATTTCTTTTATTTAAAAAGTCCACAATTTGCAAGGAGGGTGAGGACGCTAATATGCACACACATCCTCTTTTGGTTGCATAAATAAACACAGCTGTGTGATTGTCCTCTTTTGATTGTATGAATAAAAACGAATGTGTGTATTCTTATGTCCCCTTTTGATTGTATGAATAAAGACGAATGTGTGTATTCTTATGTCCTCTTTTGACTGTATATATAAACACAACTATCATTAACAGTTCTTTTTTATTGGAAGAATAAATACAAAATATAACATGTTTAAAATCTTTATATCGCATTCCTTTAAATCATTTTGAGATGCATGATTTTCTGATTAATGTAATGAAAGGAGTAATTTATAATAGCGATTTTGAGAATCATCGGTCATTAATTCTTCGAAATTCATCAGTTAATAAATAAAGACTAGCCCTTAGTGATAAATGTGAGTAGTACTAAAATATATTAAAAGGCTTAATCATTAGTTACAGTTATAGTTTCATATGACGTTAAAAAATCATATTAAACCGCAAAGAAGTAATAAGATTTTAGAGAAGATTTCACAATAATTAGAATATATTTTGCACTTTTAGAAAGTAATTTGAGGACTTAAACTTTTTTCTCATACTAATATCTCCTATTAATAAATACCTACCGGGAGAATAGTTTTCCAATCATTCAGAGTTACAAAGAGAAAAGTATAACACGAACAGAGTAAAGTGACAAGACTTTCTTCAGTTTTAGGAACAATTCCTGCATTGCAGAGCTCCGATTTCAGATGCCTCAGAAAATGTATTTATAATATATTCAGGCATTTTGCGAATATTTTGGATTTTCAAATGTAATTGACACAAATTTTGTATGCTCCTCCAAACGGTCATCCTGATGTTTTTGTGAGATTTTGAAATATCTACTAAAAATCAAGTAATCATGGTTTCTACACATAACGTGTTCAGAACTTAAATAATTTGATTGAATTCTATGCTATAGTCTATTTTACTTCTCGTTCTTAACTTCAATGGAGACAGCTTCCACGCATAAAGAGAAATGTAACCTTATCATACTTTTATAAACATTTCCCTTCATAGACATTCATTTACGCGTATGCACAGAACGAAAAATTATTTGATTATTGAATTTATTTCTATTGTGATTTCAGAAAATAGTTACATCATTATACGAAAGCGAATTCATGTCTACATTTTCCCAAATCCAGAAAAATATGCAGCAATTTTTGGATGCAATCCTAAATGGAAACATTGTATTAAGAGTTCCAAGGTTATTCTTTGTGTTATAATTTTTTTCGTGTACGAAGTAAAGGGAGTATTGTAAGGGAGAATAATTTTGGGTATCTTATTTCGACGAAAATATCAATTTTGACCTCTTTTGAACCCATATGAATGAATTTTTTTGTATGACATTGGTACATATCGACAGAATAAAGCACTAATTTTTCCGATATGGGTTATAAAATAGATTCTAAATGAATCCAGAAGGAATTTTGTCATAACGTCACTACGTATATATGTAGGTACCTCTCTTGCCCAACTCAAAAACAATTAGCCGTAGAACGTTGAAATTTTGTATACGGGACTGCTGTAACATCCAGTTATGCACCTCATTTTTTGTTGTAATCGGCCGCACTAAGCGTGTTACGCGGCTCGGATGAGCTCAATTTTTTATTCCATATGTTGGTAAATTTGCGCATTTTTTGTTTGAAAGAGATTGAATTAGGTTGTTCTAATATTCCGGTTAAGGTTTTTATGCTTTTAATTAATCCGCATGCGATAGTTGTAGAATTATTAAAAAACTAAAAGAGTAAGTGGCGGGTAGGTCTAATGTGTCGCCTATTTGTTTACATTTGAAACTCTTAGTAGTATAGTGAATTCAGTCGGCTGGTGCTACAACTTCAATGGCTTTTGGGACCAAAAGTTTACTTTAAATTTTTGTGCATTGAAAATGTTGTCCTTCTGCATGCTAGATGAATTGATTAATTTTGTGTAGAAACTTTAATTTTAATTGCAAAAATTATTTTTAAAACGGTTTTTAACTGTATTTTGGATTTTTGGTTTTTCTGTATTTTACTGTTTTTAATGACGATGTTTTGAATTTATTTATTTTTGCTTTGCCGCGAAGTGAGAACTTTATCGATTGAATGCGAAATATTATCTCTAATGAAATTCTAGGAAATAATAAGTTTAAATAAAGAGCAGCAAAAAATGTCTATAATTTACTAGGCCGTACAAGGAAGTTATGTGGTGTCCACATGAGATTTTTATTTTTAAAATTAATTTTCCACTAGATAATAAAAATATCAATCTACTTAAAAATGATACATATAGTAATAATCAACTATCAAAGAAATCTGAGAAGTTATATTTATGATCTCCAGTTTTCTAGCATTTGATGATTTGGAACAGAACACGAAATCATTCTTTATCCAAATCTCCACTTCTAGAATGAAGAGTCAACCACATATAA